GGGGGGGGGGAGGGATGAATGAGAGCTTCATGTCCTATAATGTCTCACAATTCTCTTCCCCTGGCAAGCTAACCTTCTGCCTCCAGGTGTAGAAGAGAATGCTTTCCCTTGCTAGTCAGCTTTTCACATGGAATGAAAAGAAATGTCTTGGCTTAAGTAGCCAAAAGTTTTGGGATGACCCTGCTAATACATGTGAATGAGTATATTGTTTCTCCAGTTCCACAGGTACTACGCACCTGTTCTGATTTCATCGAGAAGCACGGCATTGTAGACGGGATCTACCGTCTCTCTGGGGTCTCCTCAAACATCCAGCGACTGCGGTAAGGCCCAGCCGTGAGCCTGGGTTGCATGAGAGCTCCTTGAGTGGGACAAAGGGAGGAGAAAAGGAGCAGTTTCCCTATATCCAGACACAAGAATATTGTCAGTAAAGAAATAAAAATTCCTCGTTAAAACATGGGCAAGCTTTTATAGCCATTGCTGGATGGGAGATATTAATGGCTGCCTTTAGTAGGCAAAGGGACGTGGTGGCGCTGTGGGCTAAACCGCAGAAGCCTCTGTGCTGCAGGGTCAGAAGACCAAGCAGTCGTAAGATCAAATCCACACGATGGAGTGAGCGCCCGTCGCTTGTCCCAGCTCCCGCCAACCTAGCGGTTCAAAAGCATGTAAATGCGAGTAGATAGATAGGGACCACCTCGGTGGGAAGGAAACAGCATTCCGTGTCTAAGTCGCACTGGCCATGTGACCACGGAAGATTGTCTTCGGACAAAAAGTTGGCTCTATGGCTTGGAAACGGGGATGAGCACCACCCCCTAGAGTCGAACACGACTGGACAAAAATTGTCAAGGGGAACCTTTACCTTTACCTTTTTAGTAGGCAGGGAAGGGCAGTCCAAAGAACTGTTCTGGATGGTGTTCCAGAGTGTGGTTCCAGTGATTCACTCACCTCACCTGGAACCAAAGGTGGCCAGTTTCCAGCTCAGATGGCTCTTGACTGTGTGCACCATTGTTTTAAAGCCCAGTCTCTGGTCTTAAAGCAATAGAGGCTGCTTTTAACTGATGAGAGCAATGGAGAGAAGTGAGGTACGTTCAGGGAGCAGAATTCCATCCCGCCTCCCTCCCTCCTTCTTCTCTCATACACGCTCCTCTTTTTGCTTTATATGTGAATTGGACAGAGAGGGGAGAGGTTCCCCTGTCATGTCCAGTTTAGCCCTTCCAAGGCAAGGAAAAGGGTGCACACAGGTGTGGGTCTGTGCAATTTGTGGTCACTTTGTGTAATTCTCTCCCTCAACCCTATTGTCGCAGGCATGAGTTTGACAGCGAAAGGGTTCCGGAGCTCTCCAAAGACGTCTATTTACAAGACATCCACTCGGTCAGTTCTCTCTGCAAGCTCTACTTCCGCGAGTTGCCGAACCCACTGCTCACCTATCAGCTCTACAACAAGTTTGCTGTGAGTCTTGCAAAAGCTGGGGAAAGTTCTTCCTTTCTTCCTTATTTATTACATATTTATCCTCTAATGAGATAAAGGTGATACGGAACTCTTCTCCTCCCTGCTTCCTCCACACAACAGCCATGGAGGTGAAAAACAGTCTTAAAATGACATTGAGTCTTCGCAGACCTCCCAGAAATGTTCCCAAATTATTGAGGGCTTGAACCTGGACCTCCTAGGTCACAGGACAATATAGCACTGCTGGATAGCTCAGCAGTGTAGTTCTCTAGCTGGGGAGCCGGTGGTTGGGATTTTGATTCCCCACTGTGACAGAGGCTGACATCAATGATCCATAGGATCCCTTCCAGCTCTGCAGGTCTAAGATGATGATGATGATCATGATGACACAATACATCTTCTTTTAAATGGTTCTTTCAACAAACATTTGCCCTTTCTGCACCCCTGTTGTTTGGCACACTTGTAGCTCTGCATTCTGCATCATTTTTGCCAGTCCATGTGCAGCCGTCATTGTTTAGTCGTTCAGTCTTGTCCGACTCTTCGTGACCCCATGGACCAGAGCACACCAGGCCCTCCTGTCTTCCACTGCCTCTCGGAGTTGGGTCAAATTCATGTTGGTAACTTCGATGACACTGTCCAACCATCTTGTCCTCTGTTGTCCCCTTCTCTTCTTGCCTTCACACTTTCCCAACATCAAGGTTTTTTCCAAGGATTCTTCTCTTCTCATGAGATGGCCAAAGT